AAGAAGAGGAAGAAGGAGGTGCGTCCGGTCGAGGAGATGGTGGACCACCAGGTTTATCGCCAGCGTGAGTTTGGTCGCAGCTCAGTGCCCCGTCTGCCCAAACTGCCTCCTCATCCAAGCCTGGTTGCCAATCTGCGGGAACAGCAGAGACAACAACAGAAGATTGAGGAGGAAGTTCTGCCTGGGTCTTACCCAGACTTCCAACCTTCGCGCCGTCTGTCATGCGAGGAGAAGTGTCCCTACCTGCAGTACCAGACCAGCCAGAATGGCTATGGCCACAGCATGCTATCTGACCCCCTGACCTTCAGAGATCGTCCAGAGGATCTGGGTCTTGGTCCGCGTTACCCTCCCTCCAATTGGCAGCCTAGTGCGTCTTCACGCTACCCTGGAAATATGGATATCACTGATGGAATATCAGAAAGAATGGCCCACGTGGCTCGGGTACCAGCAGGCCGGAGGGCTGGTTACGGACCCATCCACTCCAGGACCAATTTAATGGAGGCGGAGCTTATGGACGCTGACTCTGACTTCTAAAATCATAGCTGAAATAGACTGTTTTTTAGGTGTACGTACATAGCAAGGTAAAAAAAAAAAAAGTGCTGGATACTTTCGCAAATTCTTACTAAAGTGCAGCAAAATCCCAATGCCTGGACGTTAAGATGGAACAAAGCTGGTCATTTTTTTTTCTTAAAAAAAAACGCAAAGGGATAAAATAGAATAAAAAGTGTTGTGTATAAGAAATTATTTTTATATTTTATTTGTGTCCAGTAAAATTTTAAAAGCAACTCCAGGATGATAAGTCAAATAAGGCAGCTAAAACCGTACATGGCTTGAAACAATACAGAAACCCAGATGTCTTTATCCTGAAGCACCGACTCATTCATCCGCCTGCATCAGCTCCAACCTGCTGGTTACAACTTCAAGCTCTGTGTGTTACGGTGGGACCCGACGCTCCTATCGGTGCCAGTCAAAGATGAATTAACCAGGTTTACTTTTCCTGGGATTATCAATGAATGACTTCTTTAAAAAGATTCCACCAATTCTAGAAGACTATTTTAAAATGCCTTTTTATTGTTGTTGCTATATTTAATATTTTTTATTGACGTCTTATGTCACGAGTATTTCATCACTCCTAGGGCAGCAGAAGCTGCATAATACTGTTTAACGCAAGTCTTCTCTTGTATTATATTTTAATGTTTTGCTCTATCTTCAAGCTACTATATATCTATTAATTGTTTGTTCTTATGTACAGTTGGGGTACTAACCATTACCCACACGCCCCCTCACCCTATAAATACTAATAATTGCTAAATGCTAAATGTTCACACTTCCTGAAGAATTTCTAATACACACTGGGACTAAAATGAAATTGGATCCACATACAATAACTCATAGCTTCTTTTACACTTCATTTTCGATGCCTTAAATAGTAAAGCCTTTTTTTTTCTTTTATTAAATAAGCTACTGTAACTGTGTAGTTATATGTACACACTCTGTTGCCTGGTGCAATAATTCTACACTTTCTGCTTTGATTGGAGGAAAACTTACTTTACAGTTTTGCTGCATTGGACTGAAATGAATGGCTCTCTTTTACTTGTACATTTCAACTTTTCTTCTACATTTTTTTGCAGCTGTATTTCTACTTTTTCTTATTCTGTTGTAAATATTAAGTCAAAACTGCATCCTCCTTGGTTCAGTTAAAAAAAGAAAAAAAAATTGATAATGCTCCACAGGGAGCTTATTCAGATCTGAAAATAAAAAGTGCAGAATTTTCCATCTCCCTCCCTCTTTCTGTGTGTACTGTATTAGCTGCTCATAGATTTCTCAATCTGTTATATTTCCAATGTACAAATCACTCGATTCTTCTGCTTACACGATGTTGAACAAAAGGGAAGAGTCAACTGCTCTATAAAAGAAAAAAAATCTGCCGCTGTACTCGTGCTGTAACCAAATGATCACCTACTATCGTCACGTGTGTTTACACTTACTGTGGATAAATGATGCTGAAGTAAACTGTGTTAAATCGCTACTTAGTCAACACAGACACATTTTGTTACATAGAAGAGTATGAGAATTATTTATGTTATTAGTAGTTGCCACACTGCCACACTATGAATTCAATAACAAAAAAAAAAGCTGATGTCCACCTAAAAAGTTTGTGTTAAAAAAAAAAAATAGAAATGAAGATTACTTTTGAAAAGTAATAATTTCTGTTTTTTTGTAAGCTGTCTGAAGATTAACTGTGGCGCTTTGTGTGTTTAGTCTCCAAACTGAGTATAAGAATACTGTCACTTTTACTGTGCAGCTGTATTTTCTTTTGTTTTGTTTTTATATGTAAATAAAATTTTAGTGAAAAGTGAAACAGGTATGTGCATTTTTTTCTTGTGTTTTGCCTTTTGTAACAGTTGTAATCTCCGCCACGAGGACAGGAACTTTTATGACATCCCATTCCAAATCATTCCACGTTTGCAGCTACAATAATCTTTACTCTTCCAGGTTTTCTACAAACTTTTGGGCAGTGTGTAGGTGTCAAATTTTAGCCCATTCTCTGTTCTACTTCATTTCCAAAGTGGTTGCAAGGAAGGAGGTCAAGTTCTTCTACAACAAACTCATCCAACCATGCCTTTATGGACTGAGGAACAGTCATGCTGGGACAGAAGAGGACCCAAATGTCCCCACAATGTATGAAGAACAGAATTGTCTAAAATGTCCTGTTAAGAAAAGAATTAGGATTTAACTTTAGTCAAATTAAAGTCGCCAGGCCAACCCCTGGAAAAACTGCGCCACAGTGTGGCCCAGTACTTCTGACCGCAGCGTGTACTTGCAGCATGCAGCTTGCACTAATGATGTGCAATACTGCAAATTTTGGTATCAGTCTGAAACCAAATAAATACAGGGCCTGTATTCCCTATACCAATACCGATCCTGATACTTTTAACCCCTAAAGGCAGCTTATGGAGGGTAGGACAGTGTTTCATGATTTATGAGATGAATCATAATTTATTTGCAAATGATCTCTACTTTTAAGATTAGGCTTAAAACTTTCCTTTTTGCTAAAGCATATAGTTAGGGCTGGACCAGGTGACCCTGAATCCTCCCTTAGTTATGCTGCAATAGATGTAGGCTGCCGGGGGATTCCCATGATGCATTGAGTTTTTCCTTTCCAGTCACCTTTCTCGCTCACTATGTATTAACAGACCTCTCTGTATTGAATCATATCTGTTATTAATCTCTGTCTCTCTTCCACAGCATGTCTTTTATCCTGTCTTCCTTCTCTCACCCCAACCGGTCGCAGCAGATGGCCGCCCCTCCCTGAGCCTGGTTCTGCCGGAGGTTTCTTCCTGTTAAAAGGGAGTTTTTCCTTCCCACTGTCGCCAAAGTGCTTGCTCATAGGGGGTCATATGATTGTTGGGCTTTTCTCTGTATCTATGAAGCGCCTTGAGGCGACTTTTGTTGTGATTTGGCGCTATATAAATAAAATTGAATTGAATTGAATTGAATTGAACACACCTGAATGACTCTTAAATCACTGTGATATTTTCTTTCCACAATAATTAGCTAAGACAACAAAACCAAAACACACCTTTCAGGTTTAAATATATTTTGAAACTGTGGTGGGGGTTTTTGGGGGGTTTTTTGAAGAGCTGGAATGGAAATGTGCCTTTTGGGTCAGCTTCTGTTCTTGAAATGTAGCGCAGGCTATGAATAAAATGGACATAACAATCAACGTAAACACTAGTAGGAATCAAAGTAACCTTACAAAAATGCCATGAGAAATAACTTAAATTTTATACATAAAATTATAAAGTCAGGTAAGTGATAAAAAAGTAATTAAATATATAACTTATATTATATATTATTATTATCTGACCATATATAATATATTATATAGATCGAATAGGGGCACTAACATAAGTACAGTTTTGGTTTTATGAGATTTGGAGAGAAAAAACATAATAATATCCGTATAAAAAATAATATTAAGAAAAGTGAAGTTGAAAAAATAAAATAAAGTTAGGCGCTCTGTCTGTATTTATATATCAGAAAATATAATACTCTTGCTGTTTCCCGTCCGCCTCCCCCACCGCCCACTTCACCTCGTCCTAATGGGTGACTGCTAATGCCAATAGCCGCTCGGACTGCACATAATAAAGAGGGAGGGAAGTCAAGTCCAGAGGATTACAGGGTAGGAGCAACGCTCGGAGAATAAAGTGTCATACCAAAAAAAAAAAAACCCAAAAAGACAACAACCCAAAATGTCCCACAAAAACTGTTTACTTTTACCGGGTGATGTGGAAAACTTACCCAGAATATCCGAAGCTGATTCATCGTCAGGTGAGACCAAACTATTCAGCGCGTGCTCCTCCACACCTGCGCAGATCCTTTCATGTAGACTTTTAAAAAATGACGTTTTGAGTATTTTGTCAAGTTTGCGTTCCACGTGCTCTTTAAAGTCACCTTCGGTTAAAAACAAAAGTTAAAACTAATTTCAGTTTGTATTTTTTTGGTTATAATTCTATTGAAAACGACGTTGTTGCTGTTGTTAAACCTTAATGTTTAAACAGATAGCGTTGTGGAGGATAGCCTGACGGTCACAGTTGTATTGTATGTATGTAGGTCATATGGTGCTTCCTTGGGATGGTGTTTAGTAACGTTCCTAGAGGCAACAACTGCTCACTTTAATTCCGTTTAACCTATTTTTTCTGTTTTGATTTAATGAAAAAATTCACATACTTGCTGCTGTTTTCTTCTTGCAGTAATTTCTTTTCATTTTAATCTTTGCCTTCCACTGGCTGCCAACCATTAAATCAACTGCTTTTCATGAACCATAACCAGTATGCATTCCTTTTTTAATTTGAAAGCCCAGCAGGATTCTTAGCGCTGCATTGCAATGCACTGATAATCAGTCTTGACTGATTGCTGTTGAGAGCATGGGTTTTGTATGGACGCTGTATGACTCTCAGGAGGTTTGTGTTTGTCACACACATTTTCATGGAAGCATGTCGGTCAGCTAACACACTATGAATGGAACTGATATGCTGTTCTCTTCTGAAAACCATACTTCACGCTCTTTATAATGTTTCCATGTTTAGAGACCTGTGTCCATCAAGAACAGCATCGATATCCACGGCGACTCTCCTTAACTGATAGGCTCTGTGTTGGGGCGCATCATCTCGAGACAGGCCCTGCAGATACACCCTCCACAGATGCTTCTGGACACCACTTCTGCCACTACACCCCAAAATGTTTTTTTGGTGTCCATAGAGGTGAATATGACATTAGCTGAAACTAGAATAAAGTAGCAGATACCTGACTGGATTTAATAACTCTAGTTGGCTGGTTCTGAATGATCAAGACTACCTTTCCCAACATGGCTGAAGCATTATAAGATTTTGTGTATATGGACATGTGAAATGTTAAAATATAGAGAGGTTTAAATTAGAACGGGGTAGAAAAGTTGTTGTTTTTTTAATCTGCACAGGGGGGCATGTCACCTCAGCCCGGTCTTCTCCACCACGCAATGGAGAAGAGGGATGGCATGAATGCACCACAAGGACTACAATCAGAGTTGACAATGAGGTGGAGGCACACAGGGAGGCCAACAACTACAAGGTAGGAAACCACTCGATCAGGGCGGTGGTTACGTGCTAAACACTTACTACATACTACGGCACCTAATTTCTCACTTTTTATTCATAAAGGAAAGAAAAGGGACTTGAAGCATTTTAAAATACACATGTGAAAAAGATACACAGCTTTCACAGTAAGTTTAACATGAGTCTAGGGCAAGAATTTAGAAATGTAATCACACCGAATCTTTCATTTCTAGTAACCATAAACTTTAGTGGTTCTGTGATAGCCAGCCAATTCGTTTGAGGTATCAGAAGTGACGCAGAAAAACATGGGGTTGTGTTTTGGGGCTTTTTCTTCTCCTGTAGTCTGTTATCCATGCAGGCTTAAGGGGGTTTTACTCACTCGGATGGAAAACGCAGCTAAACTGCCTGAAACAGCTCTTCTGTTGTCCTGGCATTTCTTCTGTTACTGCGTTGCACAAAAAAACGTACTCAACTTAATACAGATGTTAACAGCAATTTACGGTCTGCTAGTTTTTCCGTACAGGAGATGCTTTTACTTTATGATTGAGGATTAGTGGCCTAATATTTACGCTGGTAGGAATGTTCCCACAAGAATAGCAAATATATGTTCAGTGTTAGCATGATGTGCCTGACATTAGTGGTTGCTTATTACGATAAAGCTGTAAACATTTATGCACTTTTTTTCAGTTTCACTTGTAAGACAGCAAAACAAATGGTGACGCTAACACTTCTTCTTTGTCTTTTCTTTCTTCTTCTGCTTCTTGCTTCTTGTATTCACCTCTGTCACACCAACCCTCTACATGTCTTTCACCAAATTCATGAGCTTTGTATGTGGTCATCCTCTTTTTTTCCTGCATGGCAGCTCCATATTTAATATACTTTGTCCACTTCCTGGCACATGTGCAGATTGCCTCTAACGTTGTCACCAAACCAATCAACCTGAGCTGTCCCTCTGATATACTCATTTCTAGTCCCGTCTAAACTGGTCCCTCACATTATTTCTAAACTGTGGTAAAGCTGTGTTAAAAATGGCTACATGTCAAACAAAAACTCGGAATATCTCCAGAATGACGCTAAAGCTTTTTGTTTTTGAGTCCACACCCCTGAGTTGTTGACTACATAAGTAAAGTTAAACTGACCCTCTCAAATGAAATTATGAACCTGTGAGTGTAATACACGCACTCAAAGCTGCAGATGTTTTTCTTTTTAACAATAATACCCCTTTATTTCTTCAGTTTGGTTTCAGAAAATGGAAGGCCAGTGTAACGGAGAAGCCCATTGAAGACCAATCGGAGATCATGAAAGAGCTGCACTCTGACCTTAGCATTGTTAAGGCTCAAGAACGCCTGGGTTCCTTTTGCCTTTTTTTTCATATTAGAACTCTGTTTAACTCCAGCACGCTCGTACATGCAAATTCGTGTTTCTTACGCTAAAGAACTAACCTGCATTTGTGATTTCTGTCTCTTCTCAGGTTCAGTGGTAACCTTTGGGAATGTGTGCTATGTATTTTTATTTGGTTGGTGGATAGCGTTAATCTACATCCTCATTTCTGCTGTCATGTTTCTGACAGTGGCAGGTGCTGCTTATGGTATGTAGTCTTTAAAAAAACTGCAGCACTCTTGTTTTCTGTAAATCTGGAAAATAATGCTAATGAGTTGCTTCTTTTAGGAAAAGTTTGTGTCGCATTGGCATGGTACTTTATTTGGCCATTTGGGAAGTGTATTGAGAAGGTAATGAAGCCTTTTAATGTAATTTGTGTACTAAATTTGATACTGTGTAGACGCTAGAGTTGCTATTTTAAGTTTAAAAAATCAGGATTTTTAATAGGATAAATAGTTTTTAATGACAGCATTCAGTTAAAATCCTCTAATAAGAATTGATTAATTTTTTTCAGGTTGATAATGTACTTAATAGATTCTCTGTGAACCCTCCAAACTGTGAGGTTATTCCTCATGAGACGGACAGTGAGGACCTTGTCGTGAACAAAGACTCTGCATCCCTAGTGTCTTCACCCCCAACTATCCAGATCCCTGTCCCAGAACTGCCACCAAAGAATACTTCAAAGCACTGGGTAAGAAAATCATACTGACCTCAGTTATGTGGTGCTGTGCTCAGTGGTTCTGAAATATTTATATAGAAGTTTATACATAATTCAACCTGAGGGAAAAAGAACAAAGAAATAATTAGAATTTCAAAATTGCCACAACTTTCATGTGCATGACGAGTGTATGTAAGCTTCTGACCATGAGTCCTAATCTGTCTCCACAGTGTCGTGTCAGCACTTGCATTTGGTTGTTACTTGGCTACCCTGTCCTGGCTGTCATGCACTGCCTCGCCTGTGTGCTGTCCTGGCTGCTGGTCTTCACCATCCCAGTAGCAAAAATCAACGCTCGTATACTAACCGGCGTCCTTCTCATGGCACCAGAGGACCTTCACATCCACACACTGGAAAAGGACAAGGTTATTTACTGAAACACAGATTGATGTTGTAGATATCAAGGCAGAGGATGAGTGAAGGATTTCCCCCTCCATTACCGCAATGGTTATGCTTTTCAAAATACCAACCGCAGTGTTGTTACTTTTTACAGCCGCCTTATTAGCCATGATCCTTTGTACTTCCCAAAAGCTTTAAATGTGGTAGCGTGTGTTTAATGCTGTCTGTGACACTTTGTTCCTTTTTTAAAAGAGCAATTGAACCATATCACACAAAAAAGGTTTTCAGTTTTCACATGGCCTCAAAGTGAAAGTATGATTAAAAACAGTTCAGAAAAACTGAACTGTGTATAGCTTGTTAATGTTGGAGCTAATCATTTTTAATGCATGTTTACTGACTCTTTTTTTTTTACTTCTACGATCTCCCTTGCAGACACAGGCATGTGGAACCAGAGTCCTCTTATGCTGTTATCAAGCTTTCAATATGCATTACTACAAATACACAGTCCACGGTATCAACATTTTCGCCCTCAGTATCCTTTTTAAGTTGTTAGAGATAAAGTAAGGGGCTCAGTCACAGTTTTTAATCCTCAGCCTGAAAGGCCTGGGGGATGATCGCCAAGCGGTCTGGTGACACTCAACTTTGTGAACACGATAACCCAAGGATTGTAGAATTGATACCACAGATGTATCGCTAAAAATGTAGAAAACGTTTTGGTGACCGTGACCACAAGGTCAAGGCCAGAGGTCAACTTTACTAAAAGTCTTGTGAAGGAAAAATAATTTTTTAAACTATGTTGCAATTGTATTTACTCAGAAAGATATAATATAGGCCTTTCGTCTTCATAGCTTAGCTATAATGATAATAACCCTTCTGCTATCTGATTTCTGTAACTGTATAAATTTTCAGGCCAGGGCAGACGTGCAAAAAGATGTTCTACTATAGCCACTAGTATTTTTACTGCTGGCCTGCCCACTGTCTGTCTGTTGTCCTTAAGCCTATGCCCACTGCAGACCTGCTTCCGTTGGTATTTATCACTTTGATCATTGGTTACGCTGACAAAGAAAACAATTACTTCAGAGCCGAGACAAAGTTTGCTACAGCCATGATTTCCATTATTCCCCTGTCTTATTATATTGGCATGGGAATAGCCAGGTAAAATTCTTTCATTTTATTTTTGAAGTGATGAAAAATTATAGTGGGTGAAATTCAAACTTCACTCCTTTTTATTTAATTGTTTTTAGCCTTTGGTAACTATCTAGCCCCAGCTCCTTTCATCTGTTTTCCCTACCAACAAGTAGGCAGTGAAGCAAGTCTTGGACTGCAGCTGTTCATGATAGTCCTCCTCCTGCTCGCAACCAGAACCTGCAGCAGGTGGAGGATTTTTAAACTCAGAGGCTGCACAGCAGTCCAAGATTATCGCAATTGAAGTCTGTCCACAGGACAAGAAACACTGATAGACAACTGAGTGACACTGACAACTACAACAATAGCAAATTTGCCTGCTTGCATGGGTAAAACACCAGATGGCACTAGCTGGGGCTCGCTGGTTAGCTGCCTCTGAATTTATGAATTAATGTGTTAGTATGTAGCAAGTTAATCCCACTGAACATTTTTAGAAACTCTTAACTACATATAACGTTTCAGTTCTTTTTGTTTATTTTGCTTTGTATCTGTGTATACGTCCTGCAGCATTTCTGCACAGTGTAACTTCGCAGTGGGAGCAGTGGTGAACGCAACTTTTGGCTCCATCACAGAGTTGACATTCTACATCACGGCATTGCTTCAGGGGCATCGTGCTGCCACCAAATGTTATGAAGAAGTTGTCAAAGCTGCGTTAACTGGCACCCTTCTTGGATGCATACTGTTCATACCAGTAAGAGCAGATGAATTGTGCCCATTGGTTATATTCGCAATTAGATGTCTTAAGCGGATGGCTGTACTCATTGCATAAAAATTCTAACTGCACAGGGTATATGTATGATCATTGGGGGTATTAAACACCAGGAGCAACGATTTAACAGCCGTTCAGCTGGAGTGAGCTCAGCTTTGCTCTTCATATCCATTGGAGGTAAGGATGGCAGATGTGCATAAAACAAACTGAGAAACAAAATTCTTCCAAAACCTGAATCCAAACCCCTTCCATGCTGCAATATTGTCCCTAGGTGTGTTTGCACCTACCCTGTTTTCAAAGACCTTTGGTAATCTGATGTGTGAAAGTTGCAGCGATGTTCCCGGCAATGCCACTGTGTCCTTCATCTGTAAAAACTGTCACTATGACACGGTGGGTGGCTGCTTCTTCTTTTTGTATAGAGTTATAGGGTATTTTGTTATAGATCAGCTCAGTAAATACACTTAAAAATGTCCAAAGGAAAGACTCAACTTTTAGGCTTTTCCAGGGCGACATGTTGCATCTTATTTTATTGTTGATTTTTCATTCTTATCTTGTTTGTGTTCACAACAGAGTCAAAGTCAGCCCCATTTAATTCTGTCCCATATTGAGTAAGTCTTGATGCTTGATTGCACAGCACTTCTCCAACATGATCAGCTTGATATTGTTTTGAGTGATAATTTTTTTTTCTTTTTTTGCAGGCCTCTTATGTACACAATTTCTGTCCTTCTGCCTGCTGCATACCTAATTGGCCTCATCTTCACACTGAAGACCCATTCGCACATCTATGATATCCATATCAGCGATGGTCACGGGGGCCATGCACACGGTCAGTACACACAAGAGGGTACCAGCACCTCCAACCCCACTGGTGAAATCACCACCGGCCATCTACTTGTCACCAAACCATGTATTAATGCCAGTATTATTGCCCATGGGCCACGTTGCAACAGGTGTGTTGTGCATGCAGTCCTTTAATCTTTTGGGGAATAGGAAAGTGAAATGATTGCAAAATGCTTATTGCTCATTGCCTTCCTTATTACCAAGCATGTGCAGTGTTGCAATAAGGCAGTTTTGCATGTAAAAACCTGTGAAGTTTGAGGAAATTGCATTCAATTGTTTTCTAGGGGGAAAAGAAATGCAAACCTAGCTGTGTTAATCTTAAATAAAACTGCAACCAGTTCTGCAACCAGCAAGACTGGTGAGCATTTTGGAGAAGGATTTAATAAACACATTGCAGACAAAGAACTCTTACATGTTGGCCCATCTCACTATACCTTCAGCCCCATCCTTAAACCTTCTCCCTCACAGAGAGAATTATGACCTTGTTTTCTGCTTGGCCATCACCTAAGGATTTACATCCCTGATAAGGAGAAGGAGTCTCGCTATCTGTTTAACATCTCCCATGAACTAACAATGGCCTCACTGTGTCAAGTGTGTGTGTAGAGGATAAGGCCCATTTGTAGTGCACATGCATACTACTAAGTGACCGTGAGAAAGTGATATTACTAATACTATTACTAATGTGATATGATTCAAATATATAATTAATACATCAGAAAAGAAATCTGTCATGACAACTGCAATAAAAAAAAAAGCCTTTCTTTGAAATTTTATGCATTAAAATAAAAAATCATGAAATATAACTGTCATTGTGTGTGCCCAACAGGATCTTGGCACCTCAAGCCATTAAACTTTAACTCATTATTCTTTATTTGACTCTCATGGCAGACCAGTAATCAGAATTAGCAAATTAGAAGTTTGTATTTTTGTTTGTTTTAGCAAAGTCTGGATGCTAATTTAAAATGTAGCACGAGCTAAAGGTGATAAGCAAGCTGGCTTTTAGAGGGGAACAAGAATGCAGATCATACCTCATAAAATGCATATTTGGATGTCCCTATGCACTGACTGTGTGGAATGATCTGTAGGTAGATCTGAAAATGTTATTTGGTTGAAAGAGCCTTTCCTCTACAGAGCATATTACAATCTAATATTTACAATGATAATGATTTGGGGTTTTCGTTGTTGTTTTTTAAGTTAATGAAATAAAGGGCACTAACGGTTTAAGGTCATAAGTACTTATTGTTAAACCTGTCAATGAGCTCATGGTATGGATGTTACAAGCAGGTCACCATGTTGTCCACTGGTCCCGGTGGAGGGCTCTTGGAGTGCTGATTGTTGCCACGGTGCTGATGGCTTGCTGTGCTGACCTCTGCACTGAAAACATTAAGCCCTTTCTGACCCATTCCTCCATCTCCCAGGTATTCCAATACATTATTATGCTTTTTTTAATAAGGAAAATGGAAAAACTCTAAACTTTATTGAACAAGACACCTGTAGCATGTAGAATGAAGTGGAAACCTTGTATTAAAGCTGACAAAATATTATAATACTGAAGTTAACTGCTTATCTGCTTATGCTGCAGTACTTCATTGGGGTCACGGTGTTGGCCATGGTGCCAGAGCTTCCTGAGATTGTCAATGGGATTCTTTTTGCACTGCAAAACAATATCAGTCTCAGGTTTGATAACACCATCCTGTTATATTATCACGTGTGTTATAACCCACCTGGATGGGCTCAATTTTAATCTGGAGTAATGGAAATGCACAAAATAAACTTTTCTTGTCCCCTCTTTGTAGCCTTGAAGTGGGAAGTTGCATTGCTGTGCAGGTCTGCATGATCCAGATTCCTCTGCTCATCCTCTTCAATGCATTCTATGTAAGTTAAATTGATTATTATTTTGTTTGTGATAATTCCAGTTATGACATTTCAAGCTATATATATTATTTTTTCTTCTTTCCTCCCAGGATGTTGGCTTTATGCTTGTGTTCAGCGATATTCATCTTTGGGCTAGCATCTTTAGTGTAATTGTGGTCAATTACATCTTCATGGATGGGAAATGTGACTACTTTCAAGGTAAGCAATATCAGAATATAATACCAGAAATGTAAGTATTAATTTTGTGCGAATCAGATGTTATCAAGGACTTTCTCATATGTGCATTTGTCAGTTTTTCCTATGTCAAATATCTTGCTTATATCCACTTGTTGTCTTGTCTGCAGGCACGGCTCTAGTGGTGGTCTACCTCATCCTTCTGGCCCTTTACTTCTTTGCTCCTTCTCCACACTCGTGTTAATGTGCCAAATAGTAATTTTGAAAATTAAACATACTAAAATGTTTCTTAATCTTTGGTGGTGTGGGGTCAGAAGCACAAAATGTGGGATCAGAAATGTCATGTTGAAGATTAAAGTGAATATTTGGCTTTTTTATATTTATATATATATGTATACACATAAAATAGTGTCTTCCAATTCTGTCTGTAATTTAAAAAAAAGTTTTTGCTGTTGAATAGAAATGTCAATTTGTGGTATTTTTCTTGTTAATTGTTGTAATATCTTATTTGATATAATAAACATTCATTAAAAAAAACTTTCTGTATTTTTGCATTTTGACTATTAATCTCTCAGCTTTTTCATTTTGATATTTTGCCTTTGAGATTATGTTATTCACTAGCATTTGGGCAAATTCAGCTTCACAAACACAACAAATACAGGGATGTATGACTTTGATCCATTGTGCACTTTGAATAAAAGTGGCAGCAACGATCCATGCAAGAGTCTTACGCTGGATAATTCTAGTGTGCGTCATGCTAAGCATTAGTACAGGAAAGAAAACTGGGGGGGGGGGGGGGGGGGGGGGGACAGAGAGCTCTTTACAGAACACCTTTATTTAGAGACCTCTTAACACGACACTCATACAAGCCCAGTGTACAACATTTTCGGGGTCACCTGTAAAACTGTGTCAAGTAACGATTTGATGTTAATATTAAAAAAAAAAAAAAAAGCAGGTAGTGACATCATGCACCAGTAATTTGGAACAGCAAGCGGGAAAAGCAGAAGAAAAAGGAACAAGGTAAAAATAATACAGGCAGACTCATGCATATGTGACCAAACCATCTGGCAACATCCCATCATATGTATATTTTTTTAAAAAAAAAGGTTTTTCCTTGTCATAATCACATTTTGAAGGTGAATATTATTTGGCATCTGTAAACATGAACATATTTTATTTAAACACTTGGTTTTTAAGATTACAGGATATAAAATTACAATCTTGGCCAGCAACATGTCACAATATGCAATTATGGGACTTTTAATTTACTTGTAAGTCTAAGAATTTTGTCTAAACATGCAAATATCTGCCTCTATCTGTCAAACCTCAATATCAGTTTGGGAAAAAGGCACTGCAGTATAAACAGATGTTCGCGTAAGCCTGCTACTGAAGCAACTCCCTGTGCATCGTGTCTTAAACAAAGAGGGAGTAAAATTTTAAACAGAATCAAGTCTTTATTCAAATATAATCATATTAAATATATACATATCTATATATATATCTATATATATATCTATATATATATAGATATATATATATATATATATATTTTATTTTTTTTAAAAGCACCAAATTCACAGTGATGTGTAGCATGGTTTGGTTTACAAATGAAACCTGCAAGCAAACACAATGAAAAGGGAAAAAAATAATAAATTATCTTGAACATACCCACCTCGCTTCAATTTCATCTCCAGACTAGGCTGCAATATGATGTATAATGAACAATACAGGAACTACAGAGGTCCGGACACAGGCAAAACCAGCATTTAAAACTTCCTTACATGCCAATGAACAGCACAGTGTTTCTGCATGTTTTAGGCAATTCACCACAAATAACATAAGACTCTTTTCAAGGCATGCACTAATTTCATTTTTTAGGATTTGAATGCTTTTATATCCCAGGCAGATGGCATGTGTTTTTGTTTTTTAAGATATAAAAATAATTCGGAGAAACTGGAAATTTAAGATTACTTACGGTCAAAGTTATGCAATGATCCACTTTGACATTAAAAGCGCAGAAAAAGGTTATTGTAATTGGCTGATCAATGAACCTTAGAGAGTAAAGTGAAATAAAAAGGCCCGCGAGGAAGTCACAAAAACATTCACAATAATCTAAAACTCTACAACAGGTCAGTAGAAATGAAAATTATATATTAGATAGGGAATTGTATTAAATTGGCTAAAATGTGCAAAAAACACCGCCATGGTTCTTTAACAAACCACCATCTGCCACTGTTTCAGACTGATATCAATACTATCGTGGCCTCTGCATGGAGAATTTTTTTTAAAGATGAAAAAAACAAACAAAAAACCAAATGTCCACAAATGTGTAAGACAAAAATGTGCAAACTGCAACATCAGTTCACAAAGCTACCCCACCCTCCCCCATAAAAAGTGATTTCATTTTAATATACATGCATTCGTCATTCACACTGAACTTTTAAAATGACCAGATAATGCCGATTTGGACAAAAAACAAACAAACAAACAAACAATGGGAGAAAACAGTGTTTGACTTCATGCCGGGGCAAAATAAACCATTTCCAGCTGTTTGATGAAAACCATGACTGTGTATTAGTTTGACACAAGTGCAGGGACCAGTGGGGGGACAGGGTCTTGAGTAAAATCCATAAAACATTCCACATATACTCTGTTCTTCATCACTTTAACTACAAAAAAAAAGGAAGAAAAACAAAACAAAAAGGCATCCCATTGTTTTTGGTTTTAAGGCGAGGCTACGTCAGGCGGGAGGGCAGGGCGGGGCTTGGGTCACCCTAAGACTTCCTGTGAATTCAATTTTGTACTGAGCCGCTCTCCTCGCTGTCCCTTCCATTTTACGTGTTCTTGCTCCGCTAAGTCTATTTCAAACGTTCAATGAGTTCCTGTGTGAGGCCCAGGTTGAGCAGCTGCATGGTGGGGAGTGAAGAAAGGTGGGGAAAGGCCTTGAGGAGCTTCTCCCAGCATAGCTCCAACAGGCTGGGCACAGTCAGCCAGATCTTGAACAGAGAGCCAGTTCTCTTGTTCTCATGGATGTTCACCACACCACCATGGATGTACATGCAGCCAGCCTGGGTACAAAACAAAAGAGGGGGAAAAGGTACATTTTACAGTGTATACAGCTTAACAAGGTTCAGGCTTCTAAACTTCCTCAATGTCATCATTGATTATCCAGCTGGTAACAAACAAAATCTTTTCATTATGTTCTCCTTGCACCTTCTGGATCACCAACAGTTTTTTATTTTTATTTTAAGGATGGTTCCTTATAATAACATAGAACATCAAAAACAAAATTAGATGTCCACAAATATAGACAAAAAAA